AATAAAGCAAAATATGATTCCATCTATTAACTGAATAAGCAATAAATTGAGGACATTTTCTGCAGAAAATGGGATTAAGTAAAAAAATTGAATTGTGTGTGAAGCAACCTTGAATTATTTAAATTCTTAATACAGTTAAAATTTGGATTCTTAGGTTTCTGGACTTCGTTTTGAGGCCTGATCTTCCCTTAAAATGTTGTGTAATTTTGTAACCTCAGTCCAACAATCCAGACTGTAGTAGACTATCGTCAGAACCCTTCAAAGTATACTGTTACAATTATATAATATATTTGGAAACAAAATATTGAGGTGTAGATCTTGACAGAGGCTATTTGTCATTGTTTTCTTTGGGTAGTTGCGCCGTGAGGCTCTTTATTGCTGCGTTGCAACAGAGATGGGAGCAGCTGCCTCTGAAATTTAATATACGCGTGTGCGTATACACACACATTTATTTTTGATATAGGACCAATAGCGATGTCCAAGGAAAGTTTTCCCATAAGAGTTGTGTTTGTGTTTCTGTATAATTAATCCAGTTTATTAACCATTCATTTTCATGAGTCTTTTATCAAAATGCAGGCTGTGATGAATCAGTTGAAGAGCTTGAAATAAATTGTGTTGCAGTACGTCAGGGGTGACGGATCACTTTGCTGTGGATGACGAACATGCTCTGTACCTCACAAGGCAGATTATGAAGAATCTCAACAGACAGAAGGTTCCTCAGACAACAGCTTCCTTCCCTGACCCACCTATTCATCCATTGGATGACCTCTATGGCATTGTAGGGGGAAATCTCAAGAGGAGTTTTGACATCAGAGAGGTTATTTTGCTGCTGTTTGTTGGACTGACTTCTGTTACTTTGTTAGTTTTGTTTAAAAAGTTAATGCTGTCACTCTGTTAAAAATTTTAATTAGCTAAGTGTTAGTCATTAATCATTTTCTCAGTTAATACGCACGTAAATTAGCATGTAATCAGGAACATATTTTGTCAAGAGAAATACTGTCCAAGTACGTGAGTAATAAACATACGTTTTATGTCTGAATTTTAAAGAGGTTTGTTGATGGCACCTTCAGTTTGGCAATACTGATGGACTGATTTGCCAGCATGAAGACAGGTTTTGTCTTTCATGTAAATACGTTAATGGAATTAAATATACGGAGCTTTCTTTTCCGCAATGAAACTGTGTATTTGTGAATTGTGTGATGAAGTAATGTAGAATTTTGATTAGGAACACTATATAATGGAGTATATTTCTTAAATTGTTTGCAGGTGATTGCTCGTATTGTGGATGGCTCCAGATTCGACGAATTTAAATCCCGCTATGGAAAGACTCTAGTAACTGGGTTTGCACGGCTCTATGGTTATCCATTGGGTATAGTGGGTAACAATGGTGTTTTGTTCTCTGAGTCTGCTCTAAAGGTAGCGTAAAAATCATAAATGTTGTAGAAAAAATCAGTTATTTGCATAATCATATCTTATTTAAATTTATGTATTTAAATTATGTGGATTATATCTTATAGTCTTTCAGCAATGGAAATTGTAGGTGTGAACTGTTATTGTGCTATGTGCAGGGGGCCCATTTTGTGGAGCTGTGTTGTCAGCGCCAGATACCACTGCTTTTCTTGCAGAATATAACTGGTGAGTTACTTCGTTCAAAGCTGGTTGTAATGAGATGTATATTCGGTGAACGAACACGCACAGGTCTGCCCACATTCAAATAGAGACTTGTGTTTTGGTAAAAGAACTTACGAGATGACGAAAACAGTTCACGGAACAGTGAGCAATGACAACACTACGGCAAATAATATGCTAATGGCAGACTTATAGGTCCATACAGATAACCAAGGAAGCATACAAGACCTGATGTTCTCCCTTTAGGAGAATATTCACTGGGCATGAAAAAAACCCTGCGCTTTTTGTCATGTCACCCAGAAGGTTGTGTCTATTTTTCCGTCTTGTTGGCAGTATAAAAGTTTTGATCCGTATCAGGTCGATAGACCTAGTCCGTGGTACTGAAGAAGAAGTTGAAGGTTTCTCAATTTTGTGACATTGTGTTACCTGCAGGCTTCATGGTGGGGCGTGATGCAGAAGCAGATGGTATTGCAAAGCACGGTGCCAAGATGGTGACAGCCGTATCATGTGCACAGGTCCCAAAATTGACTCTCATAGTGGGAGGATCCTTTGGGGCTGGGAACTATGGCATGTGTGGGAAGGCATATGGTCCAAGGTTCCTGTATATGTGGCCCAATGCCCGCATCTCAGTAATGGGTGGGGAGCAGGCTGCGGGTGTGCTGGCGCAGATCTCCCACCAGATACGAGAACGGCAGGGCAAGCAGGTGAGTGACGCAGCAGTATTTATCAAGTCATGGTATGTTGACAGGCAGGTCCAAGGCTTATTTATTCTGTTCTGCGGCCATTTTTTTAGAGGTACTTACTGTAAGCACCACTGAAACATAAGTAAACTTATCCTAGAAGACATCTTTGTATCTGCTGTTGTGTAAACCTGCATTCTCACATGCTAGAGAACCAGAGTTGCTGTGACGATATAATTTTTCGCTGTTACAGTGGACAGATGAGGAGGATCGGGCCCTCAGGGATCCCATCATCAAGAAGTTTGAGGCAGAGGGAAGCCCTTACTACTCCAGTGCCAGGTACTGGTTTCATATGGGGGTATTAAGTCTCCTTTTTCCACATGATAAAGGTTGAGTTGTAAAAGTGTTTTTGTAAATGTGCAATGTGAATAATCAAGTTACCGCTATTTTATAGGCTGTGGGATGATGGAGTTATCGATCCAGTGGACTCTCGAGCTGTATTGGGACTCAGCCTTAGTGCTGCTCTCAATGCTCCAATCCCTGAATCCAAGTTTGGAGTTTTCAGGATGTGAAAAGTGATTTCAGGGATTTTATTTTTGCAACTTTACATGAATATTTTTGTATGACTTATTTTTTTGCTGCAAAACTACAATCAATTTTTAAGCAGTAGGCCTACTAGAAGTTTATTGAACACCCATTTCCTTTCAACATATCCTATTTTGATTAACTTTACTTATTTATTTGTTTATTTATTGTGATGGAAGACAATGAAATTCTGAACATAATCTCCAGTGTTGTGTTCTGTATTGCTGAAGTTCTCTCAAACCCAGTTTGTAAGACAAGGTAAGAGATTTTTAAAAGTGAACTAACCACGAAGGTGATATTTCAGGTTCTCATGGTAGCCAGTATAAAGATGACTGTCTTCTGTGATTTTTCATGTAGTCTTAGTAGAAGTCTGCCAACATTTCTGTGGTGTTTACGAGGAGCACCAGCCATTATTTAGTTATTAAATTCGAACAGACACATCCGAAAGTATTGACATTATCTCGAGAAAATATTGAGACCTTTGTGTCGTCAAAACTCTAATGCAAATGGAAAAAGAATTGATTTGCAAGTTTTCGTAAAATTCTGCAATATTAAAATTGATTAGTCCTGAGTGTGTCAGGTTGAATATGATCACGCAAGTCGTCACACCATATGCCTAGGAACACACGTTACTTACTGTGACCATGTTTACAGTCTGGTTTTAAATCATGTCGGTCAGTGTGTTGTTATTATAGTTCAGTTCGGTGTGATAAGAATGTTAATACACGTGTTCAAATAATAATCCAGATTCCACAGCACTGATAGTATTTAAATTGTCATATCTAAATAATTACTAATCATTTGTTATAGTCACAAAATAACATTAAGAGTTGCGGCTTGTCGTCGCAAATATAATCGTTTTTATCTCGCAGTGTACGGATGTGTAAGTAGAGACCGTTCTCAGGGGTTAATTCCCACGAAGCCAATGTAGTAATAATTTAGATGACATAATATTGAAAATTCTATCATAGAATTTGCAGGTATTTCCGTAGTTCGAATTGTTAGAACCGTTCGCATTGCCATCATTCATTGATTTATAACAATCAACTTCAAGGTGAGTTTTAATTCGTAATATTTCGTTATTTTTGGTGAAATTGACCAGTTTGTGTGTTATGGCTCCACCTTTCAATACTGGATTTTATTGGAGGGAAGTGTGTGGAACTTAACCATCTGTAGTAGTAGTTTATGTTGATAATAATATTGGTTATTTTATTGCTCTTTATGAAGTGCTGTGCTGAGGTAGTATGGAATGGGGATAATTATCAGTGCTGAGTTGAAAGGATTGTGGGAAGAAGCTGCCTCTTTTAATGTTATTCTGCTATTCATGTAGAGGCGCTAAAGGGAAACCACAAAAGTAAGAACATTAGATATTTGGGCTTTAGTATGACATAATTTAAAGCATTCTAAAATTTTGTATAGAATGTTATAGTTCAATTTACTTCTGTTGGTAGGATGCTATGTTATAGATGACATGCATAGATTGTTTTAGAGTGAGTGATGGGTGAAATAAAGGAGGAACCCTTATCGGACAATGAGACAGAACCAATACTTTCACTTGTTGAAGTTCAGTTCACTGACAAACAGGAGCAGATTTCAGAGCCATTTAATTTTGTTGAAGTGAAGAATGAATATCAGGTAAATATAATTATTTTCAATTATGTCACTGTCTCAAGACATCTTACTTCACTGACACCAATTGATCAGCTGCAGAAGAATCTAATAACTGTCATTGTTGTTACACCTTGCGACTTGTAGGGAGATAACTCTGAAACGGTTGATATCTATCTACAAGTCCACAAGGCACTAGAAGACCAGCATCAATATATTCTCGTCCATGAGAACTTAAAATCTCATTATGTGATTTTGTTTATATTTGTAAAACACTTGTATAGTCCATTATAGTACCATTTCTAGTCTTCGAGTGTGTTTTATGACACATACAAAGTAATTAATATGTTTTATTCCAGGAAGAGTCAATTGATGTTAATGCAATAAAAGAGGAATTAAAGGATGAAGTAACTGTAGATGAATCCAAAATGTTTGTGGACAGGTGAGTGCACAGTTCATTAATTTTTAAATTCCAAAGGAACAGACGCACATGATATCTATAGCTATGACACCCATATTTATAGTTTTCTTCTGTTTAGGCACTTCATGGATGCTCCTATGAAGAGAGCAAGGACTGTCCTAACCCTTGAAACAAAGCTTAATATTATACAGAGGCTTGAGAATGGAGAGACTGCTGCGTCACTTGGGCGCCTGTATAATATGAATGAGTCGAGCATACGCACAATAAAGAAGAATGCGGAAAGAATTAGAAACTCCGTTGCTCAGTCATGCTCATTAGCTGCAAAGAAAACTGTCAGGGTGAGAAATCCACTGCTTGAAAAAATCGAAAAGATGCTGGCGATCTGGGTTGAAGATAGGAATAAAAAGAAGATGGAAGTTAACTCTCGCATCATTCGCACGAAGGCTCTGAGACTGTATGAGCACTTACAGCAGAGGAACACTGGTTCTTCATCTGCAGAGCCTTTTGCAGCAAGTAAAGGTTGGTTTGATAAGTTCCAGAAACGTCAAAATCTGCACATCAAGCTAAAGGGCGATGCTGGCAGCGGAGATGACGTTGCGACGTACGACTTTTCAGATGACTTTAAGGCTCTTGTCACTGCTAAAGGATACAGGCCACAGCAAGTTTTTAATGTGGATGAGACTGGTTTATTCTGGAAACGCATGCCAAGTAGAACGTTCATATCAAAAGAAGAAAAGACTGCCCCTGGTTTTAAGGCGGCGAAGGACAGACTTACTGTTTTGTTATGTGGTAATGCTGAGGGTGATTTTAAATGTAAACCTTTACTGGTGTACCACTCCCAAACTCCAAGAGCCTTGAAAGGTGGAAGACTTCAAAACCTGCCAGTTCATTGGAGATCAAATAGAAAGGCGTGGGTAACTGGAAAATTGTTTGAAGACTGGTTTCTCACTTGTTTTTGTGTGGAAGTAGAGCAATACTGCCATGCGTCTGGCATTGCTTTTAAGGCTTTGCTTGTCCTTGATAATGCCCCAGGACACCCTGCACACTTGAATGACCTACATCCTAATGTCAGAGTAATGTTTTTGCCTCCCAACTCCACTTCCTTAATACAGCCCATGGATCAGGGCGTTATAGCAATTTTTAAGGTTTATTATCTGCGACTGATATTCTCCCAGTTGCCGAATGGATCTGAACAATGCGGTAAGCAATCGGTTCGTGAGTTCTGGCGTAGTTACAACATCCTGCATGCCGTTAAGAACATAAGTTGTGCCTGGAATGAAATTGATGTCAGCATCATGAATGCTGTTTGGAAAAAGTTATGGAAAGAATGTGTCCACGACATGAGACGATGCGTGAACCCATATTCAGAAGTACACGAGATTGTTAGCCTCGGTCAGAAGGTTGCAGGGGAAGGATTTGAGGACTTACGAGAGGTAGATATCATGGACCTTCTCCAGTCTCATGAAGAAGAGCTGTCCGTGGAAGATTTAGTGGAGCTGACGCAAAGAGAACCAGAGAATCAAGATGTAATGCAAAAGGATAAATTGACACTGAAGAGACTGGCTCATTTCTTCACTCTTGCTGACCGACTGACCCAGGAGGCAATGGATATGGACCCAAATGTTGAGCGGAGTTTACAGTTTGGAAGGAACTTAACGTTAGCTTTGACACCCTACAGGGAAATCTACAGGGATAAACAGCGCCAGTCAAACTCTCTGCATTAATACTCCAGGTCCAAGACCAGTACTATGCTGTGTATCGACACTGGAAGCGATTTCACCTTGCTTAGAGACATAAGGAACGACGGCTGACACATGACGAGAATCCTGTCATTGTAATGATATACCATTATTCTGGCGACTCCAGCTTGTTTCGGTGAGTAATCAATATTATATTGTAGTTTATCGTCACATTTCAATATCATGTTGACTTTTCTTGTATATATGAGAGTCTGCATTTTGCTGCGTAAACCAAGGTTCGCAAATTGTGCATATTTTATTTATTCTTTATAATGTGAGTAAAAACATGGTGGTTGGCTCTGACATCACAGTACCTTTCTCAAAAGAAGACCCGTTATTGTCGAGGCCATATTGTGGTAATATTTCACCCAATTTTTTTCTGCGAGGATATTTGTTTCTTTACATAATGTTGGTTTGCGATGCAGATTTTTCTGTAATGTTGCCTTAGTGTGGTATAAGTCTCAGTTGAGCTGTTTTTGGACACTCATTTGTGTCAAGGAGGGCACTATTGTGCCTAAGGAGTGTAGGAAAGTAAAGATGAAACTTTGAAAATTGTGAATTATTAGATGGAAATGACTGATCTGATTCATCCCCCATTTATTTTATAACGTGCAGAAATAACTTACTCTGACCTCAGTATAAAGCAGAAGCATTCTGACTTCGATGCTGTGTAAATAAAATTTCTCACAAAAATTCTGTTAGACACATCATTCAGCTTCTTCCTGATAACACCTTCTCTTTCCTTGTGCATCCTATTATATCTCAGCTTCGTGAGTGTTTTCCTCCACGGTCTTGAAATCATATATATTTTTTTTACTCTGTGGCTGTTGTTATTTAAACATGCCCAGTTAATATAAATATTTCACATTTTCTTTACAGTTCATACACTCTCCTTATGTTTAATGTTACGATTTCTAGTTCTTTTTTGTAATATTTTCTTAAGAATTTCATGCCAGCAATCAGAATTTTGCATTCATCTCTCTTTGTGACTGTGTGTTATGTATACACAATTTTGATTGTTGGTTATGAAGGAAAGTAGGCTACAGATCAGTATGTAGACATGATTGAAGAATTGTCAAAAAATATTAATCAGAGCTCTGTGTTGCCAGTAGATAAAAGATGAAAATTCCACAATTATGTCTGAAATTTCTAACAGCCACTATAGACAGGTAAATTACATTTAGAAGCAGATGGATCATTCATTGTTTCTAACAAGATTTAATTCTGAGTGAAATTTCAGGTTCTCATGATGGCAAGTATGAAGATGTTCTGTCGCCTGGGATGCTGTGCCATGTATTCTGATGATAGATGCAGTAAGCACCATCCCAGAAGACAGTATGTCAAAGGGTGTTTAATTGTGATGAAAATAATGAGTAAAAGTTCTCGTGAGTTATAGATGACATGTTTTGAGCGTTCTCAGACTAAAAGTGCCATAGATGAAATTGTGGACCTGAATGGAGGTTGGGGTTAAAGGACTTGGCTCCGGAAATCTTTCATAGAAGGTCACTGCTTTATAGTTTTGTTCATAGATGGCAGTCGGTACCAACGCGCGATTCCAACGTGAGGAATGTGCAGTCGGCGTTGTTTGTAAAACAAAATGTTCTAAGGCTTCGCAGAGGATGTTAGGTTTTATATTTTACAATCTGTTTGGTTTCCTGTTTGCGTAAATGAGGTGTACAGTATGGGACCTGTGTCCATAGAGTTACATACACAATCGTAGGTTATGTGGCAGATCGATCACGGCAGTTTTGATTCAAATGTCGAATATCATCGAACATAAAGTGAGAGGTATCTAAATAAGCATGATTTATTCACTGTCTTAAAAATTAGTAAGGAAGTAAAGTAAGGGGTTTCTATTCTGTTGTGTTGAATATCAGGTAATTGTGTCTTATAGTTAATTTGTAAGGTATATTATAATTAAGTAAACTGTTGTACGAACGTAGTATTTGAAGCTTCCATGGCGACTGAATGCAGTACAGTCCTCGGGCGATCTGTTTTGTGTATATATATATATAATTTGTGTATGTATGTTCATGTAGCTATCATACGTAGTTCATTAGTTGGATTGAGGTGCAAAATAGAAAGATTTGGGATTGTGTATTTTTGTGTCAGGTGTGTACTAACCCAATTAATCTTTAAGTCTCATGAGAGATTTGTATTCCAGTACCTCATATGAATATATTTACTTTTACAGCACAACATGAATGTGATGAAAGTCAAGCCTGAATTGTGTCAAGAGATTTGTGAGTTTAATGCTGAAAGAGAAGATGGTGTATCAGAAGAATATTCGTCAGTGCAGTGTAAAGGAGGTAGTGAGATGTCATTTTTTTCTATTTTTGTATCATTAGAACATCAGCCATGGAAGTTATGAAGCAAAATTGTACAAAAAATTGTATTTTAGGTCAGAATGTGGATGGCATGAGAGTGAAACCAGATTTAGACCCAGTAGCCTCACTTCATGAAGATGAATTTAATGATGCAAACAAGGAGCAGTTTCTGGCACCGTTCACATTTATTGCAGTAAACAGTGGAGTTGCAGTGAGTAATAGTTTTATAATAGAAATTATTTTACATTCCATGAATTTTTCATAGGGCAAAGCAAGGACGTAGAACATGTCACAGCACAAATACAATACTTGTTTCTAATACAAATATAAATTAAATAGTTATGACAGTAATTTACAGTCAACTACAGTATTGAAAAAAATAATTATGCATAAAACATACCTACTACTGCTTATATGTGTTTATAATAACTGAGTATTTTTGGCTGAGGTAAATTCTTCTGTGGTGTAAAAGGAGTGAGATATGAGATTCTCTTTTGGTGCTGGCTAAAACTTCTTTATACTTTTTATAGTGAGTGGTAGATTATTGAATAGCTTTATTCCAGTACAATAAACTCCTTTTTGATACTTACTGAGTTTAGTGTTTGTCACAAGAAGGTTATATCTGTATCTTGTACTTATATTGTGGTTGTCTGAGTTTATTTGAGAATCTTCTATGTCATCCAGAATAAATGTTAATGAGAGCAAGAATTCACTGGCTAGTAGAAGAATATTAAATTTCATAAATAATTTCATACATGAGGCTCTCATTTCAGTCCCTGTCATTTTTCTAATGATTTTGTTTCAATTGTAAAATATTTTTTTTGCTGTCTGTTGGGTTTCCCCATAAAATAATTCCATATGACATGATCAAGTGGATGTAAGCAAAGTAGACTAATTTTAAAGTTTCTGTTTTCGTGGGTGATGTGACAGTCCTCATAGTAAAGAATGCTCACCTTAGTTAACCAACAAGTGGGCATTACCCTCTGTTACAACACGTGTTAATTTATTACTCATTCACAAAAGCACTCAATTATGCAGGCATTAAGCTTTGTTTGATACCACCAGGAAAAATCTTGGAATGGCATTAAAATCAAGGAAGAGCTGAAGGCTGAAGTAACTGCTGAAGAACGTGAAGAGAGTACTGATAGGTAAGTGGCACGTACGACGTTATTTTGAGAAGGAAGTGTGCAAATGATAGGGCTGTTTACAGCACAGAAACTTGTTACGCAGCTTAGCTAAAGCCGTATGAGATTTAAGATGCTCATGGCAGTGAAAATTTCAGCGTTGACCTTATGGATTGTAACACCATTTTTTATCCTTCTCCTTCCAAAATAAAATGGGCCATGACTGAAGACAAAGTGTCCAGGGACCCATGTTTTCACAGACTGTTTAATTGTTTTGTGCATAGAACATGCTCCTAAAGTGGTGTCATTTGTTTCAGAAACACCCTGTATAGCCATTTTAGTTGATATGAATCATTGTGTAACAGAACGTCTGGATATCGTATTTTTCTCATAATCTGTAATTTGTTGTTGCTGCTAGTAACTTTTAATAAAAGGCGTTAAGTTTCTGTAAGTTCTAAGATCATTGTGTTATAATCAAATATACTTACTCAGGAATTGAAAAAATTCTTTCAAATTGTTCGTTCATTGTGTATTTTAGTGAACATCACTTCGGCAGACAAGAATGTGCCACTGACATTGATAACCTCGTAGACGTTGGATGTGCAGAGAACATTAGTTCAAAAATGCTTGCTCACTCTCAGGAGAAAAATAATTGTGACTCTCATCTTGAAGTATTTTCTGTGGGGGAAGACCCTTACAAATGTGATGTCTGTAATAAAGTCTTCACGCAGAAAGTTGATTTGAAAGCCCACTGTCGTTTGCACAAGGCGGAGAAACCTTACAAATGTGATTTGTGTGGTAAGAAGTTTACGACCAGTTTGAGTCTAAAGCGTCACTGCCGTGCACATGCTGAAGACAAGCCACATAAGTGTGACATTTGTAGCGAAGCATTTTCTGTGAGCGCTGCTCTCAGGATTCATTCTCTGAGTCATATAGGAGTAAAGACACACAAATGTGACATATGCCTTAGGGAGTTTACGAGAAATGAGATATTAAAAAAGCATTATATCACCCATACGGGTGAGAAACCATATAAATGTCATGTTTGTGGCAAAGATTTCTCTCAGAGTGCAAATTTACAGAGACATCAACGCATACATAGCGGTGAGAAACCGTATAAATGTGATTTGTGTAAGAAGGAGTTTTCTAGAAGTGAGCACTTAAAATCACATAATGAAACCCATGTGTGACTGAACTTATCTCTTGTTTGACAATTCTAATTGTGCTTCTTGCTATATTTAGAAAGTAAGTTTGCATGTCAAATGATAAACATTATACAAGTAAATAATTTAAAATTCAATATCTCTTTACTTAAATTATTTTCTTGTGAACATTTTGGAAGCGTTTTCTGGTGTCTGTATACAGAAGATGTATATTGTTTTGGAGGCTTTCTGCGTTCCCGTTTTTGTTAATAGGGGGAACGCATTGTGGGCTGGGCTGGTCGTGTCCATCCGCCTGTCCAATCGATTCAACTCGAGAGCCACCGATTGGATTTGGATTAAATTTGACGTGGAGGCTGTGCTGTTGTGCACGACCTCAGAATTGTACTTTTATATTTCCTGTGAGCTATGGTAACAATATGGCAGATGAGGAAAATCGTGAGGTTTCAAAGAAACCATTAGCTTATATGTATTCCAGTATGGATTACAATTTTTGAGCTTGTTATATGAATGAATGGCAGATGTAGTATTGTATTATTATCGCAAATACAGATTTTTACTTTCCCTTCAAAATTGAGCCCATACTCCCATAACCATAGTCTACCTTATACCTTCTTTCACCCTCAACTTTATTATGAGTCGTATTCAGAAGTCGTGGGATTATGTTATGGAATGTTTGCCCGTTCGTAACACCTGTTCACGTTCAAATTTTAATGTTTACTTTATACCCTATACTGGGTGGTGTAAAATAAATTATATTTAAAAATGGTTTTAAAAGTATTTTTCCCCCCTGTTCATATTTTATTCATGAAGTGTTGGCGCTGTAGTTGACAGAACGGGAGGTGGCGCCGTGAGACGCATTGTTACTAGCTGTTTTTGATAAAAGTGATTGAGCTATACATAAAATCGTGTTTTTAACATTTTAAATGATTATTTTTCCATGTAATATATCAACCAATGTAAATAAATACTTCTGTAGGCACATTTAGGTATGTTTGACACAACTTACATGAATTTTATTTAAATACGGAGAGTTGTTTAATTATCAAAATTTTTGTGCAACCCGAAACATGAAAAACCCCCGGCTGTTTATTTGCTTTGCTGCGCGTCTTCTGTAACAGTCGTAGTACTTTGGTGTCCATTGCCACGAGTTTCTCTCGGGATCAAACTTAAGGATATGACGCGATGCATTTCGGCACTTATCCAGACACAGTATGTATATGAACTCGGAAATTACATTTTGACCAAGCTTTTATTGTCGTGAATTATGTATTAATATTTAATGAGTAAAATGTTAATGCGTATTTGGAAATGTTTTATATCGGAAAGAGCGTGTGATGGTATTAAAAATTAAGGAAGAGTTGAGAGATGAAACGATGATGTAGAATCAAGAAGGACGTGTGTGCAGGTATGTTTGAGTGATGTATGTTTTGGTGCATTGTGACTTTTTATTATCAGACAATTAGAAATATAAAAACGATATTGTTTATGTTGAATGCCTATAATAATTGGTGCTAATTGATCAAGTTAAGGATGAAATTAGGTCATTTGGCATCCATAGAAGAGGTGAAAAA